TTCCTGCACCAAAAGCTGGGTACATCACATATTTCTACAGAAACTGGACTTTTGGTAAATAGAACTGAACTGACCTCAGTGCTCAAAAGATCTCTAAAGATGATATGAAAAAAAGTCAATCCTTTCCTGAAAGAAGTAACGCATACATGGAAGTCTGTCTCTTTGGCTCAAAACAAAAACCAATACAAAGTGAGGATGAGACTATCATAGTATTCCAGATATTTTCCTTTGCCATGTCAATTGCAAAATGCAGGCTTGCAGGAAGATGCATGCAGATGTAGGCTGAAGTTACCAAGCCCGCTGTATCTCCATTCCCTTTTGTTAATTTTGCACTCCTGAAACCGTCTGCAAGTTCTCTGGGGAAAATTACAGGAAGCCTTACAGTTCTCAGTTTCTTACCTGCCCTTGGTGTTAAGGTTAACTTGGGAAGGGGCCATAATGCCATATCCTTGGGCTATATCTAACTGTTGCAGAGCTGTTAGCGAATATAACAAATCATTGCAAGCTAAGAAACACCCAGGGAGGTCTAGGACACGCTGGGTCAAGCTGATACGGGTCTTATAAATGAGTTTCTACAAATGGCTGAGCACCTAAGAAAATCATGGTACATGATGCACTCTTTCACACCTTAAAACCACAACTATCAACTATGATGATAATTTAAAACAACTGAAAGTCTTCAAGAGCTTAAGTGGATTTCAATGCACTTTCACAGCCCTTCAAAACTAAACATTCTTTTAAAGTAAACCAGAGCAAGCCGGTCATGTAATTAGAAATCACTTCCAAACTGTTAATCTTAAAATGCAGCCATTATTGCTGATAAGACCACTGCTAATTCCTTTATTTCTGCATATATGCATCCCTTACTGCGTCACTCAGATCAAGCAGAAGACAGACACAAACTTTCAATGCCTCACAGTAATTAAGGGTTCAAAAGAACCACTGGTGATGTGTCCACCTGGAAAATTTTCTCAATTAAAGCAGCAATATTTCACCAATTAATCCCAGTAGAAAGTTTTATTTTAGAGTATCAGTACCTGTATGATTTATTTTTATCCCTCCAAATTGTCAGAAGATAAATACAAATGTCCTCCCACATAGGGAGTTACCCTGCTATGATAACAGAAGTAGACTTGTCTAAATAAATACCGCTAGTGCAAAACCAGCAAAAGTCCTCAGGGAGATGCAATTTTTGCTGAAAAAGCAAATATTTTGCTAGTATTTACTGAATCTATTTTCTGGTTATTACAATACCAAAAAGTCTCATTGAATGACACAAAATTTGGCTGGAGAAACCTATGAGACTGTATCAATGCAGCAGTTGTCAGGGAGGTCTGTGTTGATGCCATACCATTGCTTGGTGGGTAGCCTGAAGGCTGAGTGTGGGCAATGTTTCATCACTCTTGGAGGGATGTGTGAGCAAACGTAGCAGAGACTTTGCAGATTTGCTGTCTCCATGGCAGGTGATCGCTTTTTTGGAGGCAGTCAAGGGCTACTCTCCTTAGCAGGAAACAGATGTACCCTGATATTTTGTTCTCATTTTCTGGGTTCTTTCCAGTTTCCTAAAACTTGATGTCCCAAAGTCTTCAAGTTAAGGCCTTAACATGAAAAAGTAGAATGGGATAACTACTTCCTAAGACTTACATGTGACACTTTCATTTTCAAAATACTGGGAAAATGCTTTGCTCCAGCAATGGCACTATAACCCCTTAGACACTGTCTCCTTTCTGCAAAACAGCCTCGTGACTTTCCATTTTGTATCTGTGCAAATATATCCTGGTCTGTTATATCTCTTCAGGCTAATAAGCCATTGATCACTAGTCTCTGATACTGGTCAAGCACCTTACTTTATTTCCCTCATTTGCTTATGTGCATGTTATTTGAAATAGCACCTAAAGCGATACTAAGTTCAGGATTTTTTACTGTATCTACTAATTTCTTTACTCACAAAGCCTGTTTTCCTGCAAATGAATTAAATTAGTCTTATTTAAAAGCCTGTTAATGACTAATCCTATGTTATCTATTACTTAACTCATTTTGTTTAATATCCTCGGTATCTTTCCTTGCCCATAATCTCCTCACCCTCCTTCCTGAGCACAGACCCTTGGAAACGTCTTCTTCACTCCTAATGACTGCAGGGTTATTTCAGACTGTGTCTGAAGCAGGGAAGTGAAAAGTTCATCAGGACCAGTAAACTGTAGTAATCTTTAACCTTTTCATTCCCTCTTAGCGTGCTTGCCCTTAGTGATGTTTAGTTATCAAACTGCAGTTAATGCTTCAATGAAGCAAACTCATATTTCTCTGTATCATCTATTACCAGCTCTCTCTTTTAATTTTCCCTAGGCTTTCTCTGCACAGACTTTATGTCACTTGCTAGTTGTATCTCATTTTGTGCTTTGGTCTTTCTGATTGTGTCTCTACATGATATTAGTATATCTCAGTATACAGACTGTTCATTCAATCTTTTACAAGCTCTAGAGTGACTGAAGAAAAAGAATAAGCCTCTTTGCAGATAATTTCTTATGCCATGCCAGGCTACAACTAGTATTGCCAGAGGCATCTCAAATACAATCTGACTTCACAAAGGAAAAAGGACACAAACTGCTGCCAAACGTATCTGTCTCTAACATTGCAAATCAATGCTTTTGTTGTGAAAAAATACTTTGCTACATGTAGGTTTTACTGTATAAAACAGTTTAGAAATAACACAGCACTTGTAACAGACCTTTCAGAAAAATCAAACTGCAAAAACTCTTTTGGGGCTGTAACTCAAGAAATGACACCCTTTTCTCTAGGTACATATATTTGTTTTGAGGCCAGATCAACACAATAAATGGCTCTCTCTGGACTCAATCATAATATCCCCATATGGACAAATCTGAAACTTAAAAATATTGCCAAAGGCAAAGTATTTGGAACCACTGAAGTTAAGTCACTGAACAAATACATAAAGTATTAGTAGTGGGGGTTGCTCAGGAGCTTATGCCAAACCATTAACATTTTAAATGTGATGTTTAACATTCTCTGTATAAATATGATCTTTGGCATAAATTCATACTCTTCCACATCATTCTATTGACCTCACCATTCATATATGTAGCACTAAAAATTAGTGAAGGTTTTCATAAGCTAAATATTAATAATTAACTTTCTAAGAAATATTGTCACATTCACTTCATGGCACACAATGCAAATTACTATTTAAAAATTAAAGGCACAGTGCAAATTACAAATTACTCATGTATCAGCATATTTTTAACTACTGTTAGCATACATTACATTGGTACACACATATGTTTTATAGTGTTGCAATGATATTAATAAGAGGTGTGATTTTAGCTGATATAGTAATACTTCTGAATGCAACATAAGAGAATGAAATGTGTGGAGAGTTTCCATTTAGATTTGGCAAAGAGTTGTTTAGGGGTTTGGTTTTGTTGTGCTTGCTGATTCACTGAAAGTGAAATCTTTCCATGGAAAGGATTGATATTGAAAAAATCTCTGGGTTTGTATAAAGGGGAAAAAAATCTTAACATTGCATATAAAAGATCATTTTTCCTTGAAATGATTATGTTGTTAAACAACTAAGTTTCACCTTAAGGCATTTAAAATATTTCTGACTGACTTAGTATAATTTTCTTTTTTGGATCAAAGGCTAATGAAATATTTAATATTGACTTTTCAGTCCCCATTTGAGATGAGACTTCCATTGTCAAATCTTGAAAATCTTCACAGGACATGAAAATCACCTACTGCCTAGAAAAGATTATTTTTTCTCTCTTGTAAAAGTCAAACAAATGTTCCAAAAGAAAAAAAAAATCTTGGTACAACTGTGCCGGGGTGGTTGCACCTCTTTATAATATAACTTAAATGGTAAAACATTTGCATATCAAAAAGATTTTTAATAGAGCAAACAGAGGAAAACCCTTTCTTGCTTTTCTTTGTCTGTTCCAAACACTTGCAAGGACTGTGCATATAATGAGGGTCTCGTCTTGTAAACGGTCTCCCCGCCAGTGAAACTACATTTCAGTAAGGATCTGTGTAACGATTCCCGTGTAAAAAAGCAAATTGTCAGGACTGAGCATTTTAAGGCAAGACTGGTCAGCTGAAGGCAGGGGCCCACCAGCTCTGCCTTGCTTTGAGCTAATGGGAAGAAAACTGGTGGGGTCCTGCTGCTGGACAGGATTTGTTAGCAAGAGGGCAGTGATGCAGCTTTGGAGCTGCCAATTGCTGGGACAGCAGGTAGATCCAGCATGCAGGAATCCTTACGTGGCTGTTCAGTTTTGCCTTTAATTACACAATTTTCCCCTTTTCTCTGGTTGTTCTCCAGAACAAAGGAACTAAAAAAACTTCTCAAGATAGAAAAAGTGCTTGTAAAACCTTAAGAGGCAGTTGATTCCACATCCATTGCCCTTGAGCTTTCTTTTTCTTCCTTCCTTTTTTACATAAAGGACTAGGCTGCTAATTAAATAGTGTCCCTTCAGGAAAACAGGTGGAGGGTGGGGTTTTTTTTGGCTCCTGTCCTTTTGCCTCTCACTGGTTTCGTGGTCACTGTATCTATAGGCAAGCTCACCTTTCCGAAAGAGTAGATCTGACGCTTCCAGTCCTCATGAGCAGGCTCTGAACCTCCTGCGTGCTTGTTGTCAGTCCAGAGAGAGAGCCATGATGGCTAAGAGGAAGGTCAATAGACTCGGAACTGGTGTGAAGGCTAGTCATGGACTGGTAACTTGGTGTGTCCTTACTGCCCGCTGAAGAGCTGCTCAGGTTTGCAGCCCACACAAGACCACCTGATGTGAAAGAGTGCACTGAGGCGGGACTGGAAGCCAAGGAGTGACTTAAGCTTACAACATCTGCATTTAAGTCCGAAGGTTTACTGAAGAGGGGGCTGCTGCTACCACTTTGCCCACCTGCACTGCCCATGCTGCCTGTGCCCGAGGACGGCGACTCCAGGCTGCCTTGCCGTGCCAATGTGGTACTAGGGCTGGGCATTGCCGATGTGGGTTTCACACCTTCAGTACTGGGTGCAGAGGCAGCTTTACCACTTGCCTTGGCACCAAACAACCTAAATGTAAAACAAATAGCTTTAGAGAAACTGATAGCCACATTAAACATTCATGGCGTAACATCCTAAGAGCCAAACTACACATTTTTAATTACCGCTACTAAAATCATGCCTACCTAGTTGATCAATCGCATCGCAAAATTAAATTCACTTAACCATATCACAATAATCAGGGTCTGTTTCAGTAGCAACAGCTCTCATTCACTCCTGTTCAGATGTGCTCTTTGCACATACAGACCCTCCCATAGAGGGGTAAAATAATCACATTTTTGTCTTATTAGTGCATAAACAGATTACACTTTCACCCAAATTCAGTAATTAAGCGTTCCCACGGCTAAGTCATTAGCTTTTAAACCCCTCACTTCTCGAATCAGCTGAAACGATTGCAACAAACACTTGCAAAATCCTTCATAGTTTAATAAACTTCTAAGTATTTGTGTAAAATTTCCCTCTCGTTCTTTTGCACAGATGGTCATGCGGTCATCGGTCATGTAGTAACCATTCAGACAGAATAAACTGCACTGGAGCTGAGTGGGCTCGGTTTGTCTCCAAGGGCAGTCATGACAGAGGTGTATTTCACATAATTGCTTCCAGCAACTCTAGAGAAGAAAATTCTACAGTGGTGATGAAAAAACTAAACCCCAAATCCTCTAAAACTTTTGAAATAAAAGGGTCATGTGATGACTTAATGTCTTACTGCAAATCTTTTAAGCTGCAGTGAAGGTGCAGCTCATAAATTACGAAGAAATAAATGCAAAACTTATCGTGATGTAAAGTAAGCATGGCTAATAACGTAAGAATCCATTTTACAGATTACCAAGCCCACAAAAATCAGCTGCAGCCCCCAGCAGCCGGGAGGTGCTGTTTTGGTAACTCGGCACCAGAGGGCACTATTGGCTTTTTCGCCAACAGCGCAAGTGCTCCATCCCAATTCATACTTCATCCACATTTACGCTTCCAGGAACGTCACTATAGGGCATTTCCAATTGAAATTTAGCTTTGCTAATGCTTGCGATGAAAGATGTAACAAAGCTGCTAAGATAATGAAACGTTTGTAGCTGGAGCTGCCGACAACGTGACAGCAAATACTTTATTATAATCTACAGAGCTCTTCAGTTCTCCGAGCAGGCTATGGCATCTCCTGTTCCAGTAACAGAATGCGCGGGAAAGCAGCATCCTTCTTCCCTTTGGGTGTATCAGAGTATTGAGAGGGAACTTCTCATGTGCCTGAACTTAGAATCATAGAACATTTTGAGTTGGAAGGGACCCATAAGGATCATCTAGTCCAACTTCTCCTAGCCTTCAAATTGTTGTTATCAGAAAGTACCTAAAATGCTCAAAGCTCAAAGAACAGCCATTTCAGGTCTGGGAAACTCTTTAGATCTTAGAGAAATAATTGTGTTGTGTGAAAAAATATTACCCTTTTTCTTTTTTTTTTTTTTGTACTCGGTTCTCTGTTTGTGGCAAAATACGCCCTGCAAAGCCTTTTTGCCCAGTACTTCAACACACTGAAAATCCCTGCTTTATATACTGCAACTTCAGGAATTCATGGAAAAGCACTAACCTTCGAAAGGTGGGGGAGGCGATATCTGGGTATTTGGATCCTGGCTGCCTAAGTCCCGGCGTGCCAGAAGCGCTCGCTGAAGTTGGGCTGGATTTGGGGGAACTGGACAGCGAGACGCTCTCAGAATCGGACACGGCCACTTTCTCTTTTTCCTTGTCCGTCTGGTTGATGGTGACAGGGCTGGATCGTCCAGACCCGATCTTGCTTGGCTCTCGCAGTTTGGTGGCAGCAGCACCCGCAGACTTGCTGCTGACGTTCGAGTCGATGCTTGCGGGTGCTGGAGCGGGGGCCGCCCCGGCCGGGGATCCCGCTGCCGCTGGATTTTGACGGGCGAGGCAAACTTCGATACTGGAGAGTCGTTTTTGAGTTCACGTGCAGGACGCCGTCATCCTGGTTCTGGGAACCGTCCAAGCTCGTTTTCCGCCCTGCGTTGGACTTCCCACCGATGGCTGAAGATTTTGGCATTTTTCCCAGAGTTGCCGACCCGCTTGTGATGGTCGCTCCACTTGTGGTGATTATGGTAGAAGATCCCATCCCGGACTTCTTGAATCCAAAGGACCCCGTAGCAGTTGATCTCCCAATGCCAGAGGGAGGCTTTTTTCCTTCATCGCCACTGCTTTTTCCTGCATCTGATGGAGAGCGCTGAATGGAGGCTCCTTTTAGGGGAGTTTTCACTTTTTCTGAAGCTTTTGCATCATCTGTTTTTCCTAAATAAAAGTATATTTGAAATGGTCACTTGTGTTTAAGCTGTAATGTCTCAATATCTAATTTTAACCCTACATGTAGACAATTTCAAAATGAAAAAACACACAATTAGAAAAATTACCCTAAGAAAACAGACCAATTTGGTCTTTAGTCCCCCATCAGCAGTCAGTAGCAGGTATGGTACGTTACAGGTAAGCATTAAGTATTAGAAGCTTGAAATTCTCCTGAGAAGTTCCTGTTTCACATACAGCTGGAGAACATAGATGTAGAAAATCATCCTGAGCGAACCATTTCTGTTAATACTATTTCTATGTGTAAGAAATAATATTTGAAAATAAAACATGACACATAATTAGTATTTCCAGAAGTATGACATTAATTATGCATGTAGAAATTAGTGGTACTTATTGAGTTCTTTGGTTTTCAGTAATTACATTTTTTTAGCTTAAAACTAAGTTTGCTGTGTTTTCAGTTACACAAAATTATCAGGGAGAGATTATGTTATCATGGTATGAGTCATCTTCATCTATAACGATATCAGTTACATGAGTTAATAGCCTTTGTCATATCCTTGATATCTTCTCAAGATTTTTGATTTTCTGAGAGGCTGTCTTTGATACTGCACAGATAAGTACCTATATACCGTTTATTTCTACATAATGTTATTGTGACATTCAGAAAGGTTTAAATAAGATATTATCTTCTATCTTAAAAGAAAATACCCTCTTCCTATTTTACAAACAGACAAAAAAAAGTAATTTCTCTTCTATCCTGTTTTCTCTTTAAGCCTCTATTGTATGCTCCTAATAAGGAACAAATATTCAGCACAACAAAGTTTTTAAATAACTCATCAAGTGGTCGTGGAGATTTTGGAGGTCTGTGGCCTAATTTTTCTTAAGGAACTAAACTGTAACAAAGAGCAGCACCTACAAGTCAGAACTAAATCCACTTGCATTTTTATTCAGTGCACATTTTATGCTACACAAACACATGCACATGCCTAGATAGGGGTCAGACTCTTCCACGGCGAACACACAGACTATTAGTATATGCTAAAAAACGAAGGCCTCAGTTCTGTGTTGCACAGTGACTGCCTGCTCATCTGCAGCAAAACAGATCTGGGAAACTTAACTTGGTATGCGGTATACTTTTTAATATCTCCTCTTTTAATTGCTATTACAGGGGTGTCATTTCTGCATCCATATGACCACTGACCATGGCAATGCTCTTCAGGGATCTTATAGACCAGAGGCTGACCAATGTTCAGCAGTTCCAAATTGCAAAGAAACAAAACAGGCTCATTTGAATCTATTCTGAGAAGATCTTTGTTAGTTGCCTTTACAACTGGGGGTTAAAGCATGCTCATGCAGTATTTCGTCAGGACATAACAAAGGTCTAGAAAATGTCCTAAAAAGAATTTGTATTTCCTAGTAAAATGATGGACTAGATGGCCTTAATAATGATGTCTTCCACCAACTTTGGAGTTTTTGCTTCAAAACCAGATTGCAGAAGTGGTTACTGCTTCTGAGAGGCCTTTCAAAATTGGGTAAGAAGTCTTCTAGCACTGAAGAAAGTGTGTAAAAAGATATATTTTACAATTTTTTTATCTCTTAGCAGTGGTCTATAGAATACCTGCAGTATCTGGGATGTGATAATTCAGCTTTAGTTCAGAAACAGTAGTTCTGAGTCCCCTCATTTGAATGTTAAATCTTTTTATCTCATCTTCTAATCTTTGGCTGTTCTATGCATATGTTCAACTAGCAAAGTACGGGTCTTCTAGAGAACAAAGGTAATGCACAGTTGGGTCCAAAAGTACTTTTAAGAATTCCATAATAGAAGCTGACATACTCAAACGAGAGTAAAAATGCAATCGCATTTTTTGTTCTGGATATATTAATGTGCAATTAATAAACTATTAGTATGCAGTTAGCAAACTAACAGTTACAGAGATGAACAAGTTACTGTATTATTACAATCTTGTCTTGCAGTCATTTATGAGAAGAACTACTAATATGCTTACAGTTCCTCATGTCTGTCACACATTTATAACATCCATTAAATACTTTTAGCCTACTAAAGATGCCTTAATGCTTATAGATGAATGTCTATGCTGTAATCTGAACTACAGAAGTTTCCTACCCGGGGTCTTGAGTGCACTTGTTCCTGCTTTGTGCCTGGACTGAGTTGTTCCTACTTGTGCAGTCATGCCTCTCCTCCAGGATCCGGTCTGTGAAAGAGAGAGAGATGCTTTCTGCCCTCCCTTCTCCGACTCTTCAGACAGCCCCGAGGGAAGGCCTTTCCACTTGCCACTGCTGTCTACGCTGCTGTCAAAGTCTTCCTCTGGTTTCTTCAGTTCTTCAGTGCTGCCCCAAGTCTCGCTGTCTGTAACCGAGCGCTTCTCGGAGTCCGTCTTCAGCTACAAGAGATTTGCATGAGAAATGGTCAGTCTCAGCATCTTCAGTATTTGCTGATTTCTTAAATCACAGGAGGGGAGAAGAATAAGCATATTGATGTATTTGTAGGAAGGGCCATGGAAACTTCCCTTCTAAAACATTCCAAAAAGTTTGATTCCAAAAGTTTAAAAACATTCCCATTTGGAGAAGACATTTTTCTTTTTTCTTTTATTTTCAAGAGATTTCAACTCTTTCCTTCATAGATAAACTGTAATGAAGATGAAATACAGTTTACTCTAATAACCAGTGGTGATACCCTATTGTTTCTCAGTTCCCTCTGAATTTCTCCTCTGAAATTTCATTTCATCCCTCTGAAATGAAACACTGCGCTGAGAAGTTTTACTAAAAGATTGAACGACAGAATTCCTAAATATATTACCAAAACCACCTCAGGCTGGTTTCTTGCCTTTTCCTACCCCAGCATCCCACTGACCAAATTAGGAATATTGCTCCAGCAGCACTGAGTGTGCTGTGCCACCAGTAAGCAAGGATAGCACCTTCAGCAAAATTATCAGTGCTACAGGTGATGGCTTTTCTACTGGTTTGTCTCACCTGAAATGAATTGCTTCCAACAAGAAATTCACTCTAGCTTTATAAGCTAGCAGAGCAGCCCTAAGAGAGGCTTATGCAAGCGCTACCCACCAGTGGGGTGAGCTGGGGTACCCAGCTGGGATCACACATGCTCTGAAACTCAGACCCATGTGGAAGATGCTCCAGTGAGGACATAACACCCCCGTGGCACCTCCTTTCCCCGGGGCGTGCTGATAAGGGTGTGCTGCAAGGAGCAGCCCCACAAGACAGACAACGTAGAGGCTGTGAAAGTGGCTTAAATAGGAATGTTGGAGATGGCCCCTACCCTCTGTGTTTGACAAGACTTGCGTTCTTTGTGCTGATAGGCTCTTTGCTGTAACCCTTCCTCCTGTGTTTTCTGGCAGCCTCCTGACCTCAGCCTCAAGCCTTATTTGCACATCGATCGTCATCTCACCAGTCCTGCTCACCTCTGCCCCTCTTTAAACAGCCAAAAAGTGGTGCTGCTCTCAGGTATCACCACAGCCTTATTCTCATGCAGGCAACCTAAGTGGGGCTGCAAACTGGATCGCATTCAGGGGAAGGCTACTTATTATTCTGTGTTGCCACAACTTCTCCACAGAGACCCCTCTGTGGCTGTTTCCTAGGCACTGCTGGCATAAGTAGGATTAATACTGATTAGATGACCGACAGAATAATCAGTTGCTGTTTACATATTTGCCATTTGAGGCATGCAAAATGCAAAATCTCTTTGCACTTCCGTAATTTCATATGTGCTTTGGAGATGCTAGCACAGATTTTGCGTAAGGATATATGGGAAAAGAGCCCAACCAAACATCTACACAAATATTACAGGGTCTCTCAGAACAGAGTTTTCATTAGTGTCATTGTTACAACCTATGTAATGCTCCCAGAACTTTTCTCATAAATTGACAGTTATAAACACATAGCTATATATTTTTAAAGCAAACTGCATCATTTCCAAGAAATGACAAGTATAATACTTTCTAAAAGCCTCTCTTCACCATTATGGGATCCAAAAAGCGATGTTAATGCTCTTTTGATCACAAAACAACAAAATACGCAATTTCTGCCTCAGGCTATAGCCAGCTTGCACTGCTCCAATCACTTTAAAACACTGCAAGGGGGAGCTCTGCGTTGCATGAGTATGTCTTACACCTGGAGAACAGCTGGCAAAATACTTATATATTCTGCTCATCTCAGCTTCTGTCTGAGACTGCAGGCTAGCATGAAATACAGTGTGTTCTGATTAATCTGCCTGGTAAAGGCAGACTTGATAAAGGTCTGTTCCTAGCCTTCATAACATAAAGCAGCTCCAGCAGAAAAGCAGCATTTGAACATGTGCTATCTCCATCTATCACTGAACAAATTGAAATAGTGTTTGGTGGAGCAACTAGAACATGAGATCACTCAAATGAAAAACCTGCAAAGAGTTAAATAGTCAGCCTGAGATTTCCCAATCATGATGACGATGATGCAGTGGAACAAGCAAGCCAGGACTAGCTGGCCATCACTGTTGATGTGAAAGGGAACAGGCTGATCTCCAGTTAGCAAGCATGGGAGACCCTGATGGCGTGGGAAAGGCAATGGTAAGGGTTGAAGAATGCTGGCATCTGTGCGAGTGTCTTTCCATGAGAACAGCATGGGTCTGAAATCTGTCCTGCTGGAGATTAAAGTAACCTTCATTCCCAAAGTAATTTTATTTCCCTATTGTCTGGGGGAAATGACAAATACATGTTTTTCTTCTGTTGACAAAGTCTGCCACAAGGTACGTCTACAAAACAGATCTCTGAATTGCAGGCACTAGCTGCCTGCAGGAGTCTAAATGGAATCGGGAGTGTCAGTCTTCTGTCCTGAATACTTGACATCAAATCACTGGAGGCAACAACTCTTCCCCTATGCTGAGTGTTCAGTCTTGAAGTTCCCTGCTTGTAAACAGGAGATGACATGGCAGAGAATACTTTTCTATTGGGACTAACTCTTCTGTTTTTCTTTCTTTTTTTTGGAGGACCTGAGTCCTGCAAACATTCTGTATTGTCTTTTTCATCACTTGCAATTTTGAGGGCAGCTGGGAAGAAATACTGGGATACTTGGCATAAGAGCTTTATATATATATACACACACACATATATATGTATCACATATATAGCTTGTGGCTGTATGCTGCTGAGAACTCTATTTTGACACTATGCATTGTCAGCTTGTGGGCCCATGGGACACTTTCATTCCTAGACCTAAGTGGGGAGAAGAGAAGCTCTGCCACGTGTGGGCTCCTTCCTTCAGCCTCTTTTCTCCCAGCGGAGAGAACAAGGAAAGGACAGTACAGCCCATGTATTTCTTCCCTGATACATGTCCACTCATGAAAGACAAAAACTATCTTATTTTAAATTGTGCTATCTGTTGAAAGAGGTACTCCAAATGGGATGAAGTACGAAGAAATCCACCCATCACAGATCCAGTCATATTGTGGGGTTTTTTTGTGTTAGGGTGCAGCTGGGGCTGGGGACTTCCTGAGGCTGGGACCAGCAGGTGTTCCCCCAGGGCGGGCAGAGCAGGGTCTCACCAGCTGGCACCATCAGCAGCAGTATGTGCCCTGGGAGTAGGGCATCTGAGGCGTCAGCCCACAGGTCAGGGTTGGGTCAGTGAGGCCCATGGGCTTCTTGCACACAAGTGTGATAAAGGAGTTTGTAAAATATGAATATTTAATTTGTTTCAGAGGTACTGATACTAAACTTTTTTCTTTGTTACCCTGCACGCTTGCGAGGTGTTGCGAGAAATGGCAATGAAAAGCTACTCACCTGGGCATGAGTGTTTTTCCTTGAAGAGGCAGTTATATTGGAATAAGAGCTGACAGATGAGGTGGTATTCAAATCATCCGTGCTGAGGTTGTCAAGAGTGTCACTGAGGCCACTACTAACGGAGCTGCTGTCATCCCAGCTGCAGAGAAAGGAGCACATCTATTTTACATACTGTGTGTTAATAGGCAGAAAGCATCTCAAAATCAATAGACGTGAATACTTATTCTTCAAGAGGTTTACCAGAAATTTTTCAGTAATATTTCCTAATGTACAATAGATATTAGTTTTCAGACTTTTTAATTAATTATTCACGGACTGTCAAGTGGTTGCTTGTTCAATTAATGAAAGACCCAGGTGCCTTTAAAAAAATTAGCATCAGGTCTAAGCAAGCACTAGTGTAAGTCATTAAAACAGGTTGTTTCACGCTCCATTGCAATCACATTCAGTACACTGGCAGGGAAATCCATTAAACCTACCTGGTATTGCTAGCCAAAGCATTATTAATAGCTTGGAGAACACCTGATGGATTTCCAGGCTGCAGAAAATTAAGAGGAGTGTCTCTTCTGCAGCCTAATCAACTATCAGCA